CCATCACAGTAGCAGACATCCAACAGCAGGTCAAGAACTTGAAGAGCTGGACAGCACCTGGTCTGGACATGATCCATACCTACTGGCTAAAGAAACTAACAGCAGCGCATGAATGCCTAGCAGCACAGATGAATCAGCTGCTAGCACCAGGCTCCTACCCAGACTGGCTAACGCAAGGAAGGACAGTGCTGATCATGAAAGACCCCCACAAGGGAACACACCATCCAACTACTGGCCAATAATCCGCCTCCCCACAACATGGAAAGTCCTATCAGGCATCATAGCCTGGATGAAACCCAGAGCATCCAGGAGCACATCAGTAAGATGGCACCCAAAGATGAGCTGCTGAGAGAATGTCTGAGGCAGCAGCAGCAAACATGGGAGAAAGTTCAATCAGAGGAAGTGCCATGGCAAGATAAGACCCTGCATGGGATGTACCACTGACAGATAGCCGAGGTGGCTGAGATTGAGAAATCCTACCAGTGGCTGGAAAGAGTTGGACTAAAAGACAGCATTGAGGCACTGATCATAGCAGCACAAGAACAGGCATTAAGCACCAGATCCACAGAAGCCACACTAGACAGGACCCGAGGTTCAGACTGTGCAGAGAGGCCTCAGAGACAGTCCAACACATAGTGGCAGGTTGTAAGATGCAGGCAGGAACAGCATACACTGAATAGTGCAACCAAAAAGTTGGCATTGTGTACAGGAACCTCTGCACAGTGTATGGACTAGACCCTCCCAAGTCCAGATGGGAGATCTCACAGAAAATCATGGAAAATAACAGGGCTAAGATCCTGTGGGACTTCCAGATCCAGATGGACAGTCAGGTACTGGCCAATCAACCAGGCATCGTGATAGTAGACAAGGACCAGAAGACAGCAGTGGTGATAGCTGTAGCAGTGCCAAGTGACAGCAACATCAGGAAGACGAAGTATAAGAAGCTGAAGAAGTACCAGGCCTGAAGCAGGAACTAGAGAGGATGTGGAAAGTAAAGGCCAAAGTGGTCCTAGTGGTGGTAGGAGTACTGGGGGCTGTGACTCCTAAGCTGGGAGAATGGCTCCAACAGATCCCAGGAACATCAGAGCTCTCTGTCCAGAAGAATGCAGTGGTGGGAACAGCTAAGATATTGCACTGAATTCTCAAACTCCCAGGCCTCTGGTAGGGGACCCGAGATTGAGGAAGACACGTACCACCCATAGGGGTGAGAGGGGATTTTTTAAATATATCTCTTTACCTCATTGACAGCTAGCTGCTCGCCTCCAGGCTGCAAGTACCTAGGGTTAGCACGGCAGAGTTCCTCATAGCTGTAATCCTCCTCACTGCCATTATCATCGACTAAAGCTGGAGATTCAGCATCACCATCTGCAGCACCTGGTGGGAAAGGGACATTCTGAGGAATTAGGTATTGTCAAACCCAGTGCCCATGGCATATTTGTTTTAAAAAAACCATTTTCATAAAATGGCACAGCATTCTGATTTTTTATTTCTCATAACCACTTGCACGGACAGTAAAAACAACCTACTACAATAGGAAAAAAAACTGCTAAAAGACATGGTTAAGGAAAGGAAAAGAATTGACTGTATAGTAGGTACCTATAGGATCCTGCAAAACAAATGGGAACTGAAATATAAGGACTGTGGGGAACACATTATTCAGTATTCCAGCCAGCCAGCCAGGTCTTCATTCGGGATATCCTATTCCATGCTGCTTACCCACACTTCCCTCTCTAGCAGTCAGTCGCCATTCCATGTCTGTCAAGCATACTCAAATCTTTTCAAGCTATTTCAGAATGTCCCCCTACCCCTTTTTTGCTTTTTGTCCCAAGCTTGTAGATACCATTTTCTTGCTTATAAGTATCAACACTCTGAGAATGAATTCATTACTGGTAGGGCTGGGCAGTGATATGGATTCAAAGACAAAAAGGTACTTCTGAACATGCAGAACTGCTGACATAACCCCCATCTGCAACTCCTTAAAGCAGCCGTGTCTTTTCCTGTGATCATGCACCTGCCTCTGCAAGTGCATTACAATCCTGGGGAAAAAAGCTTTAAGTTTTAAGTACTTGCAGTCAGGCACTATATGCCTGTTCCCATGTGCACTGGAGCACCTTGTTGACTTTAAATCCCCAAAACTATCAAGACCTAATAATGAATATAAGACATGAGCTGGTAAAACTTTGAACCTTCATTCTGTTTGAGGTAACCACCATCACGTTCTCCCTTTGGATGATACATAATAATACAGAAGCTTATGGAGCTTCCTCATCAGGCTTCTGAAAGACTGTACAGACCTGACAATGCATAATTAGGAATAATGGAAGAAATCTCATTTCTGAACCCCCCCTCCCCCATTAACGAAGCATGTCCTCCTTCCCAATTTAATGTTTTGTCCTATTATAAGAAGGATGTTGTTACAGTATGTGGTCCAGGATTCTATCAGCGCAGTTGATTACATATTTTCCCATAATGCATAGATCAACTGAGAGTAGGCCCCACTTTCCCATTTTTGAAACAAAATCTGAGAACCAATGAACAGCAAGGTGTAAATATCTTAATCAATTAATTATATAGATAGCAGCATTACATCTTTTCCCAAAATGTCTGCCTACCCATGCCTTAAAGAAGGTTAAAAGGCCTATGGCCCTCTTGATGCTGCTGAACTACAACTTCCCTATTGGTTATGTTGGCTGGGAGATCTGAGAATTATAGTTCAGGATAGTGAAAGTGCCCCAGGCTTCCCACTATGCAGAGTGACTTTTGGTCATCCTCTGAGCGACCCCCACTTCAAAGTTTGGAGAGCGGTTGTAAAAGAGAACCTTTTCAGTATTGCCCCCATGAGCTAGAGAAAAAGGCACCCACATTACTATCCTTTCAGCACAGATTCTTCTGCTCTCCCATAAATTTTAGTACCTTACGTCGGTCATGCCAAAAAGTTCTCCCAGAAATAGTGCGTGATAAATAGTGACCCACCAAATTATATCCTTTCTACTTTTGCTACTACAAGTTCTAATCTTTTCAAGGATCTGTATTTCAGGAGACTTAATTTTTAAAGCTGTACAAAACCTACTGAAATATTTATCTTATGGATACTTTGAAGTAGATTAGATCTGTCCTCCTAAAAACTTTAGACTAACACCTGGCCTCAGTTCTTCAACTACTCTTATTTAGAATAAATAAAAAAGTGAAGAGTAATTAGAATAAATTATTCCATTAATCACAATCACAACAGAGGAAATATTCCTAAAAACAGGAGGAACAGAGATAAAAAGTTGATGAAGTTACAGAAATGCAATACGCATTTGAAAGCCATTTTCATTAAGATCCAATATCGGTTTCCAGCCTAATACTACATTTAGAAGATTTAATTGTCTATCTTTGCAGCGAGGGTAAATTTTAAAGCAGATACCCATTAAGAAGGTAACATAAGTTGGAGCTCATTCATCCACTGAAATCAGCTTTCTGTATTGCTAGTTTATTACTTCTTGTTCCCTGTAACTATTATTCCATTGTTTACTGCCTAAAATAAATATGCAGACATGAATGTGCAATTTTTATCTCTCTAATGGAACATCCAAATTAAAAGCAACAGTGAAGTCATTTCCGTATTTTTAGTCCCACTACTGTACTAGGCTTTCCAGTTAAAACATGTTTTACAACCAAGTCCAGACCCATTTTTAAACAGTTTAAACCCAAATGCCACCAAGAACAAATGGAGCTCATTTCCTACATCAACATACCTATCTGAAGGCTTTCCAGGCTCCAAAACCGGGTAATATCCCCTCTGGCTACCATCCTGCTATCCAGAAACAGATCCTTCACCATGCACTCGGTTTGCATTCAAACCAAGAATCCTTTTTAATCCGTAAATAAAATTCATCAAAGGACGTGGAAGCTTCAAGCTATTGGGAATGCTGAAATAGCTTATTCATTGCTTTGAGCTTCTGTTGCTGCATTTCAGCCAAACTCTACTTTAAAATGACAGCTCACTCTCTGAACGTGTAGCTGTGAGGTTAGTGCCTTCAGTGACATCACAGGGAACCCTTATGGAGGAAGTTATGAAAGGAAAAAAGCGATACGGACAAATTGTGCTCACGCAGCATTCTTCCACATAATGCAAGCCTAGCCAATTCTTTCCTTATTGCAACCAGCGATGATGATGATGATGATGATGATGATGATGGAGACTTTCACTGGGCATTCAGATCTATCCTTTTTTAAAATAAAACAAAAACCTTCATCCTCCCTTCCCCAAATGCTGAAGAGCTACATTTGTCTCCACAGCATTTACAAAATAATCATAATTATTATTATAATTCACTTGATACAAAATGTACAAACGTTGCATTATTGGATAATGTAAAATTGCTCTTCAGACTAGGATTTCAGCAGCTGTATTGGACCACCAGCTTACTAGCTTGGTAAATTAAATCCCATGGGCCAAGGGAGCCTCAACGTCAGCAGGATTAGTTGCACAAACGTATATCAGCTGACTCTCAGTTCAAACCTATTTTAAGCAAGGGGTATAAAAGAGTTGGTTCCTCAGCCCACACAACTTCTCTTTAGTAGTGGCAAAAGACTAATTCTATCAAGCTGCCATTAGGAACCAGCAATTTTTGTCAGTTACCAGCAGCAGAGAGATGGGGCAGTAAATAAAGCTGTTCTCTCTGCCTGCTGAAAAACCAGCTCCATTAGCTTCTCCTCTCCCTGAAATCAATCCAGCTGGCCATTCCATAAGAACTGCTATTTAATGTGAAAAATTGGGCCTGAACCTGCCGTCTTCCTCTTCTCTTGCCATCCTCTTTTCCTTTTGTGACATGATTTCTAAATTGTATAAGCCTACATGCAAGACTATTTTTGTCACCAACTGTACATACACCACTGTGAAAATCTTTATAGTCTAAAAAGCAAGATAGAAGTGCATTATATCACAGTGAGAACTTATTCTCCTGTTCCCTTTTCCAATCTGCTGTTTCAAATAGTCACAACTGCCTGATTACATCTGCTTCTGGCCTTCCCATATCACATCTGCAGCCTTAGATCTCAGCTTCAAACGTACTTTAGCCTTCGGACTTCAGCTCCTCCCAATCTGCCTTTAATGGCACATTTGCCTTCTGTCTGGTCCTGGTTACACAGTGGAATCTGCCCTTAGAATTTTGGCCCGCCATCTCTGGAAATTAGCTTTGTGAGATGCCTGCTCTGGATCACCAGGTTCAGCAGCTATGGCGGCAATTGCTAGGGTTCGGCATTGCTAATGAAGGAGAATGCCACTCCACAACTGAAACATCTACCCAGCCTGTGAATAGTTGAATATCGTTGTGGAGCAGCAAGAGAGATTTATTAAGCTATCAGTTCAGCTTTAGTAGTTGGACAACTACACAAATATACTTTTTAAAAAAGACAGAGAACCTTAATTTAGAGAAGGTAGCTTGGTCGTGGAACATTTTTCCTTCTTAAAAAGTATCAGCTCTACTATTGAAGGAGGAGGATATATCATGCAGTGAAAAATGGATTTTAACAAACAAGTTACCTTAAAACAACAGGGATCTTGTTTTCAATGGATGAATAGCATATTATTTAAGTAATCTTCAGTAGAATAGTATAAGAATTTAATTTTTAAAACTCAATCTAACATACTATTCTTTAGTAATATGTGATTCCAGTGTGCCTAACAGGGAAAGTAAATTTTTGAATTATACCTTTTAAATTCTAAAGCTAGAAAAACTAAAATGCAGTTTAAAGCATGAGTACATAAAAGCAATGTTTGAATTTAATAAACAGAAATGATGTTTAAGGGTCTGAAGAATGTTTTCAAAACATATATACAGGTAGTCCTCAACTTATGACTATTCATTTAACAACAGTTTGAGGTTATGACAGCACTGAAAAAAGTGACTTATGACTGGTTCTTGCAGTGATGACCATCACAGCGTTCCTGTGGTCATGTGATCAAAATTCGGGCACTTGGCAATCAACATGTATTTATGATGGTTGCAGTGTCCCAAGGCCATGTGATTGCCATTTGCGACCTTCCTGGGGGGCTTCCGACAAGCAAAGTCAATGAGGGAAATCAGATTCACTTAATGACCACGTGATTTGCTTAATGACTGTGGTGATTCACTTAACAACTGTGGCAAAAAAGGTTATAAAATCAGGTGAGACTCAATGACCACAACATTTAGAAACAGAAGTTCTGGTCCCAATTGTGGTTGTAAGTTGAGGACTACCTGTATTTGTATAGATCCTAGAAAAGCGTTCCTAAGGACAGCATTGCAAAGCCTGGCTCTACAATGAAGGCCTTATTTACTTTTTTGTTGTTTATTTCCTTCCACAGGCACTTGGGATTTACAGACATCACCCAGTATTCTTCAGGTGGCAGTGATAAACTTTTCTCTTAAACACTTCAAAAATTCACTGCCACCTGTTACAGTGATTGGAGAGGAAACGGTAGGAGAGAAAATACAGCTTAGTTAAAACAAACACAGGTACTTTGCTCACTCTTCTGAAAGCAAGCATTCAGTTTTCTTGGATGCAGCCAGAAGTGGCCAAAAACCTAAAAAGCCACCAAATGCTGCAGCTGTGCAAACCTTAAGCACAGAAACTAGGTTTGTATCCTGCTGACTTATTTCTTAGCAACCATGTAGCTTAAATCAGAAGGGCAAAGATAGATGAAAAATCCGGGGGAGTATACAGAAATTAGCAGCAAGTATCCATGCAGCTGGACTTTCCCACAGCTGAGGAAAGCAAGGGGCTGACCAGCATTCATTACACAGAACTTGAAAGAATCTATGAAGAGCTGTTGTTGAGCATGGAACAAGAACAGCAATGCTAGTTACAAACACAAGGTCAAAATTTATCTCTTCAGCAACTGCACTGCGCTGATCTGACGCATTAAGCGATTTTCCCTGTATCTTTCTGTATTTGGCATTCCTTTTTGAAACCAACAAAAAAGGAAAATTCTATTCTTTTATCAAAAAAAAGTAATTTAATGCAATTGGACTGTATTCTGATGCTTTGGAAAACTCAGAGCTTTCAAAAAGGGGGGAAAAAAACCTCAGTGCAGCTTAATTATGTTGATCTTTTAAGTGAGACACCCCACCCCCTTGTACTATAGCTCACCCACAGCTTACATTGTTTTCTTACTCAAAAGATGTTTGAGGCAACTCTGTAGTTTTGAAATACCCATAGAAGTCATGTGGTTTCCTGGACCTTGCTGACTCAAATGGGAAATGAACAGTCGGGCATTACGTGGCAATTTCCACACTTGGCACCTGCAAGCGTCGGCTTTTTGCCATCTTTTGGAAGAAATAGCCTAGTTGTGACGGAAACTGCCTTCTATTGGTTCACATCAGCCGAACTCAGAATAGCCCTGTTGAACTACAATGAGAGTCTATCTAACACACAACAAATTCCATCTTTAGATTCCTGGCTTGACCTAAGTGATTCATTAAAGCATGCAGAAGTAAGCCAGAAGTTGTAGTACTTCTTGCATATCACACCCATATCAAGTAACAAGTAAAAAATGCCTCTTGGAAACGGAGCACCAAGCATACAGCCCTCTTAAGGTTTTTTCCCCCCAGAATCTGGTATACAGAGCTATATTGGTACTGACTATTATTATCAGTCGCACAGTCAGCCAGATGTTTAGACTGGATTTGGCATTTTTATCTACCTTCTGAATCCTTCCCAAGGACCTGGGATAGGCAGATGTTGTTTGATGGTTTTAAAGGTATTATCGTAGGATGTAAGCTGTTCCAAGTAAAGCTGCTTTTTGCAACTGACTGATAAGTGATTTTTTCGCTGCTGCTGCTGCTGGTGGTATTATTATTTTTATTTTTATTATTATTATTGTTTAAACTTGTATGCCGCCTGACTTTCAACAACTCTGGGCAGCTCATGACAATCAAAGAAATTACAATAAAATCAATAAAACATAAAAGGTAAAGATAAAAGATGGCAATACAATGAAGTGAGGGGACTCACCCACTTTAACTACCAAGACACACACTCTTGATGGCCAAGCTACTTGAAGCACTACAGCCTTTCCTGAGGCCTACAAAAAGGCTGGTTGACAGGCTGCTTAAATGTCCCCCAAAATCCACAAAGAATTGACTAGTGAGCTGCCAGAAGCATCATAGCATTAGTGCTACAGTTTCCCATTCCCACTAGAGAAATCCTCTCAATCTACCAATTATCTTTTTGCGGTCTTCAGAAATATCACACATGGAAAGAGGGTGCACTTGCTATCTCTTCTCCCAGAAACAGAGTAATATGTATATAAAGAATTTGTATGTATACGTGCAGGCATGGGAATATATGTATATGAGTGTGCACATATGTATAGACCACAATCCATCCATCTAACACACTGCAGCAACCCAGAACACCAGAAAAAGGAAACACTGCCTATACAACATCTTCCAACAAAATGGATACTCACACAACTTTATCAAAAAGTGCCTGACCACCCAACCCACTACAGCACAACCAACACACGCTATGAAAAGGATAACACTGCCATAAATCAGAAACATCTCACAAACAACCAACAGGCTATTACAACCACATGGCATTACCGTATCACACAAACCAACTAAAGCCCCCCAAGACATCTTAGGTAAACCAAAAAACCCAGTAGCCCAGGAAGAAAAAACAGGAGTCATCTACAACATACAGTGTAAGGACTTTAACAGCCACTATGTAGGACAGACAGGCAGAAGACTAGCAGAACACATCCATAAACACCAACTAGCAGTCAGAAGACATAAGGAAAACTCTTTAATCTCACAACACATGGACAGACTCAACCATAGCTTCAACTGGGAAACTGAACATCCTAGACCAAGCTAAATCCAAAATCACTAGGGAATTCTTGGAAGCTTGGCACTCAGACATATCGGCCATCAATAGACACAAAAAGATAAACCACATTTACAAACCATTCAAAAGAGTTAATAAAAAAGCTAAGAAGGAAACTAAAAGACCAGAATACATCCTCTCCAGCAGCCAACACCCAGATAAGCAGGG